GAGAGAGGCACTTGCGCTTCCCCTCTCTCTCTCTCTCTCTTTCCCCTCTCCCTCTCTCTTTCCTCTCCCTCCCTCCCCCCTTTCTCCAGGTGAGGAGAAAGAGAGAGGAAGAGAGAGGCACTTGCGCTTCCTCTCTCTCTCTCTCTCTCTTTCCCCTCTCCCTCTCTCTTTCCTCTCCCTCCCTCCCCCCTTTCTCCAGGTGAGGAGAGAGGGAGAGGCACTTGCGCTTCCTCTCTCTCTCTCTTTCCTCTCTCTTTCTCTCTTTTTCTCTTTCCCCTCTTCCTCTCTCTTTCCTCTCCCTCCCTTTCTCCCCCCCATCTTCTTCTCATCTCACAATCTTCGCTGACAAAGCAGCCGGGACTCTGGTGCGCCTTCCCAGCCAGCTGGGCCAATGGTCCCGCGGCTGGAGATTGCAGGGGCTGCTCTCTCTCAGGGCCGTGGCTTGCGGGAAGGCTGGCCTGCTCAGCAGAGGCTCTGGCTGGCTGCTCCCAGCGGGGATTCCAGGCTTCCCCATGTGGTTCCCCGACCACGTGTACCTCGGATGGGGCCAGCCAGGGAAAGGGACTTCCTGGCCGTGCTTCTCCCAGAGGGTGGGGCGCCTGGGCACAGGGCCAATCAGGAGCCCTGCGAGGGGGCAAATCTGCATGAGAGAGAAAGAGAGAGAGAAGCACAAGTGCCTCTCTCTGTCTCTCTCTACAAATGGCGGAGGACGCTCGGAGCTGCAGGGGAAGGCTCAAAGGTGTCCCCAAAACATCTTGCTCCATCACCCTCTATCGCCCCCTTTTCATTCCATCGCCCCCACGCCGCCCCTTTTCATTCCATCGCCCCCCTGAAAAATGAAATCGCCCCCTGGGGGGCGGTACCGCCCAGGTTAAGAACCACTGCTTTAGAGCATCCAATTATAGTTAGGGTGCCCACGCTAGATTCAGATTAACCTGGTCTACGTGAATCTAAATATTGCACACCTTTAATTATCAGTGGAGTTTAACAAACAATTATCCCCAACCTATGAATCCCTATTTTTATATGCATCTCCCCAACATTAGGTGATACCAGTTCATATCACCTGATATAATTTAGCTCCTTCATTCATAATTAAATCTATGCCTTAACTTTCCTGCATATATATCCATCAGCTCTATTTTACAAGATTCATATTGATTCATTCATATCTATTACATCCTACTTATTTCTCTTATTGCACAAATATAGCAAATATCTATTTTCCTTCCTTCTAGTTCATCAATTAATTGATTAAATAATTCTTTAACATTTAGTCCTCTAGCTTTCCAAGTTGGTCACAATCTTGCATATGCTATGTTTTTTCTCATAATAGAAATTTACTATTTTACCAGAATGGCACTCACCATATAAAAATTGTACTGGGGAATTCTGGGAATTGAAGTCCATGCATCTTCAAGTTGCCAAGGTTAAGAAACACTGGTCTAGATTTTCAATCTTAGTTGTACCTCCGTCATATGCAGCATTCCCTGCTAATAGGAAGGAAAGTTCTAGTCAGTTTATACATTTTGACTAATGACTTCCAAACTCAAACCAAACTGTATACAACAGAAAATAAAAACAGATGCGAGGGGGTTGGAGGACTGACGAATGCTATTCTCTGATTGGTCAGTTGGAGGGAATGTTGACTGGTTAATGGTGCTTTGTAAATATGAAGAACTGGCCACAGTGAAAATGACCACAGGTAAGGTTCAAGCTACTTTTGAGGGATGAAGAATGGAAGTGGTGATGAATGTGGAAGTATCCTTATTTTTTTATTATTTTTATTTTTTGCTCCTATTCATGGCACTCAAAATTAATTGCCTGAGTTTGTTACTGCTACAACTTGCTTCAGGATTGGATGAGGGATAGCTGGCCGAGTAACTTAACTCACAGCTCTGTTATCACCTGACTCTATGGTTCAGCTTCCAAATTTGTAAGGAAGAATGCTCTTAAAATAGCCCTGGAAATACTCCTTTCTTGCCAGCTTGCCTGTATAGTCTTCATACTATTTCCTCAGCAGTATTTTCCTACCGTCTCTCTGTATCTGTTACGTTGGCTGCCTGCTCCTAAAGCTTTTTGTAACCAATTCCTACAAATATTACAATCTCATTCTGTGTCCCTTTCCCCCCTTCACCTCTCCATCTTTCTTTCCTCTTTGCAGATAAGGATGTACACCGTTTGGTCTTCAGCTCTGTCAGTCACGCCCATGCTGGAGTTTATAAAAGTGTTATTGCCAACAAAGTGGGCAAAGCTACCTGCTATGCGCACCTCTATGTCACGGGTAAGGAAAGACGTTGGGACCATGGGAAGAGGTTCCTGTTCATTTTTGACAAGATTCTGCTTATGCATTCCAGGTATGCTAGGCTACACCTATTTGATTTTAAGGCTATGCCTCACAGATGGAGAAAAGGAGGATAAAAAGGAGGACATGTCCTCCTTCTGCCAGAGGTCTGTAACTCTAGCAGAGATT